GCACGATTCTGTCATTCAGCACTGTAATTACTTTTACGATACAGGCAATTCAGTTCCACAAACATTTACCGAGTACCTGTTCTGCTTAAGACTAGAGACTAGGTGGCAGAGATGCAAAAGCTAAAGGAATGAGGCTCCTCCCTTACCAAATGTAGATTCTGTCCATCAGATTCACAACCCGATTACTTGACCCAAACAGTTCTGATTAGCAAACACCATATGTCCAGCACTGTCCTCTAAGTTTAATTTGCCTGAGGCATTATTCCTCTGAGTACCATAGATTTTTACTGCTCTCGTACATTTAACTTGTCTTACTTTTATGTGAAATCAGATGTGAGAATAGGAAGAGCTGGGAAGAACTCTTGGCCCTTCAGTGGTCCAAAGTGGAAACAGTTACATTTTATTAAAAATGAAGGGTTTAGCAAAGCATTTTAAAATAGAAATGGTATGGGAGCTCAGCAGGTCATGAAAATGCCTTCAGAAGAATTTGCTGAAGGACTTTCTTCAGGGGTAAAGATCAAAGATCAGCCATTTACAGCATAAAGGGGGCAGTGTTTTCATCTTAGCTTGTTCAGTATCATAAATAAACAGGGATATTGTGTGCATGGATTGGTTGTGGTTCTCCAGATTGAAGAGATAAGGAAACACATAATTTCAACATGTGAAAGAAATGTGATGGGAATATAAGAGATTGTCAAATCTCGAGTGTAGGAAGTGAGTTTCCATCCAGTATACATGTGAATCAGGAGTCTGTGAATTTAGTCTTTTTCTGTTGTGACATGTTTTATTTAAACGGAATTCATGTTTACCTGTTTAAAACAAAAGTTGCCATCACTATCTGTTTTGTTTTCCTCTGTCAGAAAATATTAAGAGAATCAGCTTTTAAAATGAATTTATAAAATCGTTATTTCCATACATTCATTTAGAACACCTACACAATACAACAGACAATGATAATCTAAAATAAATATGTAAAGGCAATTTAGACCAGAAAATATTGATTTTCTTTTATGAATCAGTAAGGAAGAAAATACTAGATAAAGTGTATAAAAGCTCGGTACACTTTCTGAGCTGTGCTATAAGTAAGGAGGTCCTGATAAGTAAGGAAGTCTGGATTCAACTAATTTTAGAGTTCTGTGGACACGTACCTGCTTGGATAGCATGATAATAAATAGTGTTGATAAATACATAGGTGGAAATTTCAGAAGATCTCTATCTATTTTGTGAAAATATTGAGTTCACTAGCTCTATGCACAGTTTTCTATGAAAGACTGTTTTGGAGATATTAGTTGGTATTAAATGCTTATAAAGTTTCTCATTGTTAAATGAATTTTAATTGAGTTAAACAGGTTTGCTCAATGCATTCAATATACAACAAACCTTGTGAATTTTCAATAAGTAAATGTAATACCCATTATTTCCTAAATTTGTTAATACAGTTGTGGATATATTCTCTCTCTCTCTCTCTCTCTCTATATATATATATATATATATATATATACATACATACATATATACACACATATATATATTTTGGCCAGGAATACACTACTTTGAGATAGAGTATTATTAACACAATTCTCAAATTATAGACTTATTGCATTTTCTTCCTTTTTTCTAAGTGTTTGACCTTTTGAGCTTTTCCTAGATAAAATCACAGAGCAGAGTCATAGAGCATCTGCTAGCATTACTTCATGTGACTGATTGAGTAAAATGTTAATGTGGACTCACCCAGCAGGATCCAAAGCATAGCATTAACTCAGAGGGAATACAGGAAATACTCCATGTTGGTTATATCTGTTATACCTGTCCTGGGGAATGGACTTTAAGAGACTATGTCAAATAGGAGTAAGTCCATAAAGGGTAACATGATGCTGAAAGAGTGTTCAAAGCCTTCTAATTTGGGAAATATGAAAGGAATTAGAGATGTTTAACCTAGATATGAGATGTAATTAAAAACTACCATGGCCTTTAAATATTTGAGAGAATGGCATTTAGAAGAGTACTTATATATGTGTCACAATGGGTACAACTTGATCTAATATAGACATAACCAGGCTACAGATTTTTGGGCTCAGCATAAGGCGACATTCCTGTAGTCAGATTTGTCTGAGAATAACTGTGCCCTTAGAAAGTGATTGTGTTCAGTCTTAAACTCAGCAGAAACACTGTAAAGAGAAATGGGGGTAGTCTTAAAAAATTACAGGATGAAATGACAAATCAGACCCCTTGAACCTAGAAACTTTGTGAATTCTACTACAAAATTTTATTTAAATGAGCATCTATGCAAAACAGAAATTTTCCATGCCTTGATTCAAGATTCTTATTTCTAGCAGTAAAAGAAAAACATGATATTATTTTAACAGGTGCATTTGAAGTCCTTTAGGACTGTTCTATAGTATTTTTGTAAACAACTTGGAGAATAGAACCTCTAAGGAGTGAATGGTTCACTTCTTTGAAAAATAGAAATGAGCTGACAAATGACTTCTAATTTGATGACTTCTAATTTGATTAGTGACAGGGTAGTAAAAGCCAGAACAGAATCCATACTATATAGCCAGAGCAGGGGCACATACAGACATTAAAATTCTATTGTTTTTGTATGCAAAATTCAGGCTCTGTCCTAATGATATTAGTAAATTCATCTTGAAATAATAATAAATGTCATGGTGACCCTGTGGAGTAAGAACTATTACCAATGACAAAGCTAGGGCTATAAGAAATAAAGTAACTTGTCCAGTCAGTGTAGAGAAAATTTCTAGTTCAGAAAATACCAGTTTTCTTCTGATACTGGGCAAAATGAAAATTTATATTTCCTGGTTTTGTTTGCAGTTAAATGTGGACATGTGGCATGAAGTTCTAGTTTCTGGAAGTTTGAGTACTTATATGGGACAGCATGAGAAATGCTGGCCAATAATATCACTCTTTATCCTTTTACTTAGGTTTTTAATCATGCTTTTAACCATGCGATTCTGCTACAATAGTCCTAGCTAATTGAACAAGGACTGACCTGACCTGGGGGAAGCCATCTACAGATTGCCCAGTGGTCCATGAGGGGTCTGCCTATAGATTTCTGTCCAATTAGTGTGCCCTAAGCTGGGATGGTGTCTCATCAACCCAATGGGATGCTCTTTCTTAGTGAGCATAGACATGAGACATATAGAGAAGTAATCAGCAAACACTAAAGCAACAGATGCTGAGGGACCCAGAGAAGCAAAACAGTCAGCAAAGCCCTGAAGTGGAAAAAGTAGAATTGACAATTCTGTGTGATTGTTAAAGAATAGCAGTTCTCCTTCCTTGCATCCCCATGTAATTTATATTGAAATACCCTGCCCATTAACCAGGTCCATTAGTTTTCTCTAGTTAGGTACCAAATTGCCACAAACTTAGTGGTTTAAAACAATAAAAATTTATTGCCTGACGGTTCTGGGGGTCAGAATACTGAAATGGGTCTGCTTTGGCTAAATCAAAGTATCAGCAGGCTGTGTTCCTATCTGGAGGTCTGAGGGGATTTCATTTTCTTGCTGTTTTTAGCTTCTAGGAGCTGTCTTTATTCCTTGGTTCATGGCTAGCCTTCCATCTTTAAAGCGAGCAGTGGTCAGTCAAGTCTTTCTCACAATACCATCTCTTTGGTTCTGCCTCTTCTACCTCTTCTGTTTAAAGACCCTTGTAATTACGTTGGGTCCACTTAGGTTTTCCAGGATAATCCTATTTTGAAGTCAGCTGACTAGTAACTTTAATTGCAACTAAAACTTTAATTATCTTTTGTCAGATCACATAATATATTTCCATTTCTGGCGATTAAGATTTGGATATATTTCAGGACCATTATTTGTGTTTTCTTCACCAACTGTACTATGTGTTTTTTTTTTCAAATATTAAACTGCACACATTAAACTCAGGTTATTATTTCCTAGCAACCATCTACCACTACTACTTAATAATAAGGTTTAGTCTATGATATGCTGGAGTAAATAATCTATCTAGTAAGCACCAGTAGACCATGGTGCTTTAAGTAAGATATCTTAAGGCTGGGTGCAGTGGCTCACACCTATATTCCCAGTACTTTGGGAGGCTGAGGCAGGTGGATCACCAGATCAGGAGTTCAAGACCAACCTGGCTAAGATAGCAAAACCCTGTCTCTACTAAAAATACAAAAATTAGCCAGTTGTGGTGGCAGGTGCCAATAATCCCAGCTACCCTGGAAGCTGAGGCAGAGAATTGGTTGAAACTGGGAGGTGGCATTTGCAGTGAGCTGAGATCATGCCACTGCACTCCAGCCTGGGCAACAGAGCAAGACTCCACCTCAAAAATAAAACAAAAACAAAAAACACCCGGAAATCTTAGAGCAGAAATAGACAGCATGGTAAATCCTATAATACATGGCCAAAATATGTCTCAAATTTCAGCATATTCGATGATAATTTGTTCAGTACTCAGAGCCATAGCATGTTATAATAATCTCAGCATTATTCAGATCCCAGTGACAAATAAGGTATCAGAGGCAGATTTTTAGTAAATTCTTTATATATTAGTGTTTTAAAACATAAATATGAGAATTACATTGTACACTCAAGATCACACAATTTTTAAACAGAGTATCATAGTAAGGGTTCAGATTGACTGTAGAAGTTCTCTAACTACAATTTCTCAAGTCAGACAATAATTCCCTTATATTACTTTCCTGAAAAGCATTCTCTTTCTCTGACAGCATCTATCAAGTAATGAGAATCTCACTACTCTCATGAGTCAGTAGATTATTTTGATAGTTGTCTGGGATGATTTATGCATAAACATGGCAAATGAACATATGCATTTATCTCTGTCTCATTTCTAAAGGGACAGGGAAGAAAACAAATGAACAAAGAAAGATACCAGCCCACAAGGGCAAACAAATGGAGAAGAAACAGTAGACAAGAGAGAAAACACAATTTTGGAAGATAAAAAATAAATGGAGAAGTGACAACTACTTTAGAAGAAGCTGAAACGTAAGTGCCTGTAGAATGGTCAGAATAAGAAGCAGGCTAAAAATCTCTGTAGACTTCAAAAAAAAACTGAGGACTTGCAGACCCAGGTAGTCTGAATAGTGCATGGGGCTACTTCAGGGCAGATGGATTGGCTGAAAGTTGTTCACAAAGCAGTTACACTCTCTGATCTTCATCCCCACACATTGATTTTCTGGACTCAGTGACACCAGGTATAATGGAGTAACCTGCCAATGACCCCATCCCAAATTCTAAAGGCAACATGCTTTATCCATTAACACAGAATTTTCAGTCAGATTTTTGGTGTGTTATGTGTGATTATGAACAGATAGCCAAGAATCACATTTGAGGAAGCCCTCCAATATGAAACGTAGAGATCAAAATGAATAGAAAAGAATTGAGCACAGAAAAAACCATAAAATAGTATAGAAAAAAACTTTAAAAATACTGTTCATCCAGAGAAAAGACAATTCATCCACAAAACAAGAAGGACAATTAGAGAACAGTAAAATATTCTTGGAAATTATCAAATAAAGAAAACATGAATATACTCTAGAGAAGAATGACATGTGCTCTGGATTAAAAGAGCCTACCAAATGCCCACCACAATGAATAAGAAATAAATAAACCAAAACCCACAACTAGAAATATCAGAACTTTAAAATATCAGGGCCAAAAAGAAGATCCTAGGAGCTTCTCAAATAGGGTAGGGTGGGTATGAAACCATGCATATACATAAAAATGAAAAGCAAAATGACAGAAGAAACTGAAGCCCTCAGTCCTGTAACTGTAAGGAACTGAATACTTCCAATAAACGGTGTGAGCTCAGAAGTCAATTCTTCCCCAGTTGAGCCTCAGAGAAGACTGAAACCTTTGAAGACATTTTGAGTACAGCCTTGATTGCAGACTTATAACCCACAGAAACTATGTTGTTTTAAGCTGATAACTTTATGGTATTGTTACAAAGCAACAGATAACAAATATACAAGTGGCAAGATTATTCACTTGTAAGGGTAGAATGAAAGTATTTTCCGACATATTAGACCTAAACAATCTTAGCTGAGATTTCAACTTTCCAGAGCTCTATCAAAAATAGATTGCATTCAAGAGAATCTAAGGCTTGACAGAGTAATGAATGATAAAAATTGAAAAAAAAAATTGGGCTTGCATGTGGTAATTATGGTGGGAGCATTTTGTTGTGAGCAGCATCACACATCTGTAGAAGAACCATACAATCTAGTTTTTGATAACATTGTACAATCCAGGGCACTGTACTTTGCAAACAGTACACAAATAGGCGGGGGAGAAAATTAGTGAAATAGAAGTATAAGAAACTCAAAACACCCTGGTGCAGACTGCATTTGTAGTCAGATTTGTTCATATAACTAACCCTACCATGAGCAATGGTATCTTCAGCTGCAAAGAAGGGCATGTGGGTATTTGTATAAATTTCACTTGCCCCACTGTACCCCAATTTCAAAGGGCCTAATAATGCTTTTTTTGTACAATATGAATTGAGTGATATAGTTCCCTGACATAGTGGTTTTAACACTCTCTCCACTCTAATTACAGTTTTTTCCCCCACTTGGAGGCCTTCTCACTTACTGTGCCCTTGGTTTTGAGCAGATATTTTCATGAGTTATGCCCTCACATTACTCAGCTTTGCTTAAGTATCACACTTTGGGAAGCTTTTCCTTGTTGCGATGCCTCAAGTACTAGTCCTTTGCCCTGATTTACTTTTCTTTAATGCGCTTATTATTATTTATTAATTTTACACACCTCCCCCAAACAGACTGTAAGCTCTTTGAGGGAGAGATGTCTTTATTCATTGCTCTATCCCGAGACCCACGTAGGTAGTGAGCAATTAATATTTAACTAAATGAATTAAATTTCAAAGCCAAACTTTCACATTTCTTAGTAAAGAATGAGATATAGTAAGACAATAATCTAAACTGGATTTCATTCTATACTATTTAAATATCTTCTAAACGTGCACATTTTCTTCAAAGAATTAAATGCAAGGAAGTTATAGACAGATCCACTTCTAAGGAAATTCAAGATAATTAGAATAGAGTACCTACTCTTCATTCTCTCCACAATTACAAATTTATATCACTGTAACATCAAATACACTACCCCAACCCTCTCATCTTAATAATCACAAAACATGAAGATAAAGGCAGGGGTAAAGATTGGTATAATGTTATTTGGTTTTTGAGATTCTGGGTATTATTTACTCTAAAAGTGATGTTTTCCTTAATGTATTGGAATGTTAGTCAGAATGGAAGTGAACATTTACCCCTTTTTGACCACTACACTTATTTGAAACAAAAGCATTGCACTGTCAAGAAAAAGAAAATCCCAAGGCCCCCAGCTGACTGAACGAACCATCGTCTTGGCCGAGAGGACCACAGAGAAACCATGAAAATTGAGTTACTAGCCATGATGAGATGTGAGGTCAGGCATGCCTTGCTATAACCCCTTCCTTGCTAAGTACCATTAGGCTTTCTTCTCTAACAGAAACCAAGCCTTTTGAAAGACTCATTCCACTCCTGATATCAACCAACCACCTGAGGCTGCCCCTTGGTTTCTGTAGTTTCCGCACAAGTGACCAGCATTCCTTTTGGCTGAGAGACCACTGACCATGGAGCGGTTCTGGCCAGTAGGTGGAGGATGTGCACTGAGTGCCTTCGTGTCCTCAGTCATGATGTCAGAGGGCTGAAAACCTCATCCTTGGTTTCATGGAGAGGATGAAGCACAATTGCATCTAGGCATGCTTCTCCTTTCATAAATATTAATGACCCCTCCTATATATTAATATGCATACTCACCCATTCCATTTAGCATACATTCCTGTTCCCTTTGCTCCCCTAGTCAAAATGTCTGTTTCCAGCTTCTATCTGGAGTTAGGCTTCCCCACCTGTCAGCAAGGCTACTTGCAGGCTGCAACCTTTTAAGAGAAATAAAGCTCTCCTTTCCAAATTGATGAACCTTCTCATTCTTCATTTGACACTGCTTATTAAAGGAAGTAGATAGAGTCTCTGTGGGAATTCCATTCCCCTGCTTGTTAATTCTTTTTAAGTTAGATCTCTACCTCATTGCCTGGCATTAATAATTTTTTAATAATATAAAGAATAGATGAGAAGTGAAGAACCAGCTTCTAAATGTGTTGAAAAGCCAACAGGCCACAGGGAGAAGAGGTGAGCGTGCAAGTTCTTCCCAGTGTTACACCTCAAAAGATGCAGCCAAAAAGGAAGACTGACTTTTCAGAAGCCATTGTTACTGCAGTGCAGATTCATGATAGGCTTGAAGATAAGGCAAATGGTGTTGCTTCCTCTACTGGTAATACTATGCTCCTAATTCAATTATTTCAACTCACTGTGTAGTTCTATATCTTATAAAATGCAAGTAATTATACCCAAATCCCTTCTGGCTTTTAATAGAGAAAATGCTGAAGAAAACTATAATGATGACTATTATGATGTATTACTTAATATACTCATGTCTCAGCTAATTCCTGCTGATATTTTACAAACTCAAAGTTTAAATGTCGACTAGGGTGACCAACCATCCCAGTTTCTTCAAGAATTTCTGCTTTTAGCACTGAAATTCTGCAACTTTTGAAAGGCTTCAAAAAGAGTTTCAACATGATGAGAGATATAAAATTGTATATACTTAATAGAGGAAAACTGGAAGGAAATATACAAAAAAATGTTAATAGGTTACCTTTGGATGATATCAAGTTACTTTTCATTTACTTTTTGCCACTATAAATGTCATATTTTCTCTCTAATCATCATAAGAAAATAAGTGTTGAGAAAACTATTAATACCTTGTTTAGAGGTTGTTTAACATTGGTTGCCTAAAAAGTGTCTGGGAACCTTACTAACCTGGATTCTTTGACTCTGCCTTCAAGTATTCTAAATCAAAGTCTCAGCTGATGCACTTGGACCTGCAATTTAAAAAAAATGCCCTAAAAGATTCTAATGCATGTGCCATGAATCACTTGGAGAAACACTAACAGGGAGTGTGTCTGTCTATCTTCAATCTATCATCTATTCTTTTGTCTAGCAAGTTGGTCTAACATGCAGGTAGAAGAGGTGGCCCTATAATCAGTTTGATGTCAAGACACCATCAATTACCCAACCAAAGCTACCTCAACCACTGACTAATAATTGAAAGTTTACCATTAGATATCCTTTCCTTTAGCCTGTGATTTACCACTGAGGGATTACATCTGAATCACTTTTGGAACTCTGTGACTATCTGCACACATGCATGCAAGCATACACAATGCACAAACATGCATACACACACACACACACACACACACAAAGATTCCACATCAAACCTCTGAAATCAGCACCTTGAAGTAGGAGGCTGAAAGTATGCACTGAAATGGCTCATTAGGTGTTTCTGATATTTACTCTCTTTAACAACTACTGTATTTCTGTATCCTAAGATTCAGAACCTTGTTAAAACACAAATGCCCTTGAAGGATAAGACTTTGAAGCTGTTACCAATTATAAGCATCTTAGTAAAATTGAATAAATCAGTTTTTTTTTTTGTTGAAAGTTGATTTTCATGAAAATAGAAGGAACATGAAGCTCTGGGTGCATGAAGAGGAATGGAGAGTAATTTAAAAACAAACCACAAAAGCAAAAACAAAAAATTTCCCAAAGCCAGCCATACAAAACAGCTACTGGAACTCCCAGAGACTAAGTGGCAACCTCATCATTTTGCATAGGCAAGCCCCTGGCACTGCAAAGGTGCTTCTACCAACTCCAAAAAATAATTAGGTGCTATTGGTGAGTAAAGTTTAAAAGTTAAATTGCTCACATCATAACAATAGCTGAATAGTCAATGCAGCAGAAAGTAGCCATTTCATTAGCGCTTTTTGCAAGACCAGTAAGTGGTTCATTATCAATTATGCAGCACTTATGCAGATTTGCTTTAGACTTACACCTCCAAGGCCACACTTCCCACATTTCTTAATTTTCTCCTGGATTTAAATGGCTGGGCTTCAAATCTGTGCCTGGGATGTGTTCTCATTCCAATAAGATGGGTCAGTTCAAAAGGAAAAGTGGCAATTTCCGCCATACCCAAAAATATTTATTTAACGGAATGCATTTTAACTTCTTACCTGCTAGGTCCCACAGCTAGTTTATTCTTTTGAAGGATAAAGTGAGAAATAGATGTTTCTCATGCTGAGGTGGAGGTCACAGGAGCTTTTCATCGGAGAATAATGGTTGCCTCAGAACTGGCGTGACATCCCCTTAAAGACTCAAGATATGTTGCAGAAGCTCTGTGTGAATGTCAGGGAACAGAATATAGATTGAGCAGCTGTAATTTGTGCTGAGACTGTTCTGTGTTCTGAAACTTAATCCATTTTCTCATCTTCGGTATACCAAAGGATGAGGAGGAACATTTTTCTTAAAGAGTATTTCTAAAGGAGTCACTTAAATATATAAAGATAAAGAAGAATGCTAATTGTTCCATAGAGCATGTTCCTTCTTAAAAGGAATTGCAATAATGAGAATAGGAAAAGGTCAGTTGGAAAGATAGTGCATGATTAAGTAAAGAATTAATCAGGTCTATTCAAACTCTTCCCCTTCCACCTTCCTGATGTAGGCTGCAAAGTGACTTGTGTTAATGGAGCTAGTTAACAAAGGCAAGAACAGCTGGGAAAGTCAGACAATAATTAAATAGGGTTATTTGAAGAAGATATAACCCTCACTTGAACAGATTTCAGTAATGTATGTGTGTACTTGACCCTGACGCCTGTGCATGTTGTCCAAAGCATCACACATGAGCTGCTCAAGTTGCAGGAGTACCCTGTTCTAGCTTCTGAATATCTGGAGTATTTATGCTGATGCATTCCACTCTTGGACTCTTGTTTCTAGGCTGGATCTACTTCCGTACTGCAAACACAGCGTAACCTGAACATAGGCTCTAAATAGGTTTAGGAATGAATGAGCCATTCTATTGAGCCTCTTTGGGCAATCACTTCGGCGAGAGCTTCACACAAATAAAACATTCTGGGAAGCCTACTATTTTGCTGATGGTCTGACAGTGATATACACCGTTAGAGCTGGAAAGCAACTTCTGTAACACTGGGACCCTTTTACTGATGAGAAATCTGAGGCTTGAGAGGCTAAGATAATATTGCCAACATAAGGACAATGTACAACCTAAAATAGAAAATATACTAGATAGTTGCCTATGTTACCATTTACTCACAACTTTCTGAGTTGGGTAGGATAATTACTACCACTTAATAAACTGTGGCTCAGAGAGGTTAAGTAACTTTCTGAAAGCAACAAGAAAATGGCCACGCTGGAAACTGAACACTGGTTAATTGAATCCAAAGAATATGTTCTTCCTTATATGTAGGTGTTTCTCAAAGCTGGCTGATGTTCAGAAGCACCAGAGAGTATAAAGCTGGCTTTGAAAACAGTGTCCTCTACCATGCTGCCCTGCAGGACCCTGCCTGAGGTCTGGAGGCACTGAGGGAGTCAGACTGGGTTTGCATAAAGAAGTGCCAGCTACTGGCCGGCTCGATTCCACCCACCCTTTTGTTTTATGCTGTGCATCCTAATTTGTCTGACCTTAGAACCGGAGCCAGTAGTCTACCTTCCATCTCTAGTGCTATTTGCAGTTAGTCTCACTCTGAACCCTAACCCCAGGCAAGCATTGATCTGCTTTCTGTCTACAGATGTCTTTTTTTGAAATTTCATATAAATAGAATCATAGAATATTCTTTGTCCTCATTCACTTAGCATAATTTTTTGAGGTTAATTCATATTGTAGCATGTTTCAGTGGTTTGTCCCTTTTTGTTGCTGACTAGTTATCCATGGTGTATGTCCACTGCAGGGAAGAAAGTTTAAACTCTTCAGTTTAACATGTAAACCTTTTGTAACCTGACTGCCACCTAGTTATCTACCTCCTCCTATTGATGCCCGCCCCCCGACATTTCCCAGGCTGACATTTTATTCTAGCAGTATTGAGACATTTGCAGGTCCCAAGCATGCTATGTTCTCTTTTCCTAGATGTCTTTTCTAATAATAATAATATAAGTGATACAGTAAAGTTAAATCTGCTTTGAACACCCTTATGCTGCTGCTGTCCAACTCTGATCATATTCTGCTCCAGGTATCTTTGCTTGACTCATTTCTTTTGCTTCTTTTTTTTAATGCAACTCAGAAGTCACTGCTTTAAAAAGGCTTTTCTGACACAAAGCCATCCTACCCTCAACCTTGGCCTGGCAAATAACTGGCAGATGTCTCAGTGGTCCACAGCTTCCTCTTTATATCACATGTATCATAATCATTTGTTCATTGGTTTGCTACTTTAGACTTACCAGATTGTAAGGCAACTGAAGGAAGGAATCCTGTCTTTTTGTCTTTAGCAATATGGCACATGATAGGCATTTAATATATTTGTTTGAAAATACAAAGCTTCCAACCACTGCTTGTATATCTTATGGCTAAACGTTCTAAGTGCTCCTGAACTCAACAGACAAAGAATCTGACTACCATGGACAAGTGAAAAAGATTAACTGCAGAAAATTATTTCCAAACATGGTTGTACTGTGTAATAGTGTAAAGTTACTACAACCCATATCACAAATTATTTGTAGACCCTTCAGGGACGACATTTTTTTCATGGTTCTTATTTTAGTTTGAGTGAGTATTAAACTAAAAGGTTTAAAATACTTAAATATCTTAAGTATTTATCTAATTTAATCATTGTGTTTCAGTGATGTGTATTACTGACGTCCAAAAAGTGAAATGACCTACTGAAATTCACGTTTTGTGGCTGAACTTGTGCTGGAAACTGGCTCTGTAGACTCTGATTTTTACTGCAACATGCTGTATCCCCTTTCCAAAAGATGGTAACAATGAAAATAGCTCCAAAGGTAAGAGAAGGTATTCTAAAGTCAGACTGCCTGTGTTTGAATCCTAGCTTTCCAGTCTTACATTCTATGAAACCTTGTGCAAGACAGTTTACTCCCTGTGACCTCAGTTTCCTTATCTGTCAAATATAGATATTTAATTGCACTAATTGCACCTACGATGCCTGTGATTTAGCTATTGTCTCTTGGCTTTAAACCATCCTTCCTACACCCTGCTTTGGGATGTTTGGACTGGGATGTGTCTCTTTGCTGTCTGCCTTCTGGCTAGGATCTATTAGTAGTGGAGACTGGAGAGAGACTGAGAAACTGGAAGTACAATGTATATGTATATATATTTAAATTTTTCCAAGATAGGCAGGAACAGCTTCATGGAGAATCATCAGAAATACTATCACTAGCCAAACAGTGTTGTATCCTCATAAGGCTTAATTTTAACTCCACAAGGTCCCTCCTGTAAGGCTTTAATTTTAATTATTGCAAACACTTTCATCCCTAGTTGAAAGTCTAGTTTCCCTAGATTTAGGAGGGGTAGCTTCTTTCTGTTGTCACCACCTTCTGTTCTGTTTTGTCAGTTCTTCAATTCCTAGTTAGCAAATCTTCTTACTAAATTCTTTCTGTTACAATGAGCAATGTAATTTCTGTCTCCTGAATAGACCCTGACCAATATGTCTTGCTTGGGTTATCTTAAAGATTCAAATTATTGCCCATGTAAAGAGTTTAACAGTGTCTGGTATATAGAAAGTGTTCAATAAATGTTGAGTGTTGGTTTAGCAATTTAGCAAATGTTGGTATTGCTAAATGCTGTTCGACTATAAAAGAATAATTGTGTATCTGTTATAAATTTCCTTTTATTTATTTTCTTCCTCATGAATCATAAAGGAAAGGCTAATCACAAAGGACTCATGTTTTGTTTTGGATTTCTCTAGATTCGTGCATTCTTTTGGAATTCTTTAAATCTCTATGGGAGGCACAAAAATCTTGGACACTAGATCAGGTTTATAGCGTTGTTTAGTTCCCCCAATAGCAACTATCATGCCACTATTTAACTACTGAAAACAACAAAAAACAACAAAACAAACATGCAAAATCTCCTTCTAGGGTAAGTATTTTGCCTGCAAATTATCCACATTAATTTCCAAAACAGAGAACTGAACAAATATGAAGAATTGACTCATTCTCTTTGAAGTTTGTTTCTTATGAATGCAATTTTAACTAATATTATAGTTTTCATAGGTATATTCCCTTCTTTTTAGGTTATTTGCAGTTTGTAAATTGTCTCTTTTTAAAAATTCTATTTCCCACATTTTCTGCTAAGCATCCCAACATATTCTTTGCTTGTATGTAGGCCCTTCTCATTATTTCAGATGCTTCTCAGGGTAAATGAGAACTCTAGATTTTATTTCTCCATTCAGTGATCCTAATGGACTGTTTCCCAAACCCTTTGCAGTAAAGATTATCAATTTTCTACATATTCTTGGACCAACATGAAGGAAGAAATACGGATAAATTTGTGATTACTGGTTTCCTGAGAAGTACTATAAATTATCCTTCATATTATAGAACCATAGAAAAATACACATTGGGGTTTTGCTTTCATTTCTAGGTATATTTATTATTTCTGAGACTGATTGGTCTACTGAAATAATTAAGTTGGTTCTACCTTTACTGATTAGCCAATATATTAGCATTTTGGCTGGAGTTCAGAAGGTAGAAATGCCGTGTGTGTGTGTGTGTGTGTGTGTGTGTGTGTGTGTGTGTGTGTGTGAAAGAGAGAGAGATGAAGACAGAGAGAGAGAGAGTGAGGGGGAAAGAGCAAGAGAGAGAGAGAGAGAGAGAGTGCTTTTGGGAATTAAGTTAGGACTGAGAAGGAGTTAATGGCTGACAACAACAATAATTACCCTGTACTTAGGTAGCCTGTTTTGGTTATACTTTTTAATTTATTTTTTTTTTTAATTTTTTGAGGCCGGTCTTGTTCTGTCACCCAGGCTAGGGTGCAGTGGCATGATCACAGCTCAAGCAATCCTCTTGCCTCAACTTCCTGAGTAGCTGGGCCCACAGGCTTGCACCACCATGGTTGGCTAATTTTTTTTTTTTTTTTGTAGAGATGGGGCTCCTTATGTTGCCCAGGCTTGTCTCAAACTCTTGGGCTTAAGCAATCTTCCTGCCTTGCCCTCCCAAAGTGCTAGGATTACATATATGAGCCACCGTGCCCAGCCTGGTTATACGTTAGTAGTAAAAAGACTATAACAGGTGACTGCTTCAGCACATTAGTGAATATGCTGGTATTATTCTTTGAAATGTTACACTTAAACAGTCTCATCAAACTTTGTCTAGCCTTAAGAGGTCCATCACAATTATGAATTGAACCACTTTCATTATGGAGGAAAATATGTGTTTTTTTTCTGCTGCTGTTTCAAATTTAGCTCCTGCAATTGAGCTAAATCTGAAATAAAAGAATGTTAATAAAGTAAAACAACTTGAACTAAAACAGACCAACCAAAAGGAAACATTATCTTGACCATCAAGGTTTATAGTCTATAAGGAATAGGAATATATTAATACAGATAGAGAGAAAATTCTAGTGAAATGTTTTTCTTTCTCCTTTGCTACAGAATAAAATTTAGGAACAATGGCCCTCATAATACTCTTTATCTAAAAGAAATATTTCATTGCCAGGAAAATTAGAGACCATCAAAAGACAATTCTTATTACCTGACATGTCTTCTTCTCTCTCTTAGTCTCCTTTGGGTAAAGTCCTTTCCATGAGATTTTCCCTCTTCTTTCCTGCCTATGAAAGGGTCTCTAATTGCCTAGCCATGTGCTGTTTTGACTCTTCTCATAGGCTTGCCAATTTACTCCTTCTGTCTGTTAATATTTAATTATTCAACTACCTCAATTAAAACTCATTCCAGCTGCTGAGGAATTACTGTTTGGCACTTACCTAACTCTTTCCTTATGTATATATTATGAGTGATTAACCTCTGGGGCTTTATGGATATATATTTTGTAATTCTCTAGTTTCCCAATACTAATTGGCAGTAGTGGGAAAAAAATCTGTAGCTAAATCATTAATAAATAATGTTTCAGAGGTTGAAAAGAAGTTGGAAAGAAGAAAGAGATCCAAAAAACTAAAACTCAAATGCTCTGGTAGTCAGTCAGGAAGAACAGACTTAATTGTTATACTAGAAGAACTTTAGATGCCTCATTATTACAGAAGAATGAGCTATGAGGTTGGGATTAAAAATATCAGGAACTTTAAGTTATCTTGCTTTTTGTCTTGACAATATGTGCATATGCAATTAAAGTTTGGTGACACCCTGCCTTTGTCCTAGTTTACATCCTCAATCTCTCGAATGTGTCATGGTGATGGCTGTCATCCATCAAAAAGCTTGATGATATTTTCTCTGGAGCCCATCTGTGAACCATTGTATCAGATGGGAGGCTCACAACTGAGCAACATGTTAAATTAGATTTGCATAAGACATTCCATCTTCTCCAGGTTGAGCTTGTAGCCTTTACATGTTTTCATCTTATTTGTCCTGGCTTCAGCATTATTTCTATAGAATATATTTTGCTCCCATTTGAGCAGGTGAGACATCATATCTTCTGCTGCTGCTCCACCCTTTGAGTTGAATGTTCATCATATGGACTGTACTAGTTCTTCAGAGTATTTCTGAGGTAGATAGTTCTCTGCCTTTCACATCTTTCCCTGGAATTGAGGATGGGGAATCCGGTTTTGCAAATATCTGATATTGAAGAAGTCTGGTCCTGGTTGACATTTAGCAGGAAGCTAAAGACACAAAATACCATCAGACTGTGTTCTTCCCTAAGGGCTGCTTGAGAAGTCTGTTTTCTGTTCTCGAGTCCTCCAATAGTTTTCTCAAAATTAAGACTATTTTTTCTTAGACTAATTCTTATTTCAAGAAAGAAAGTTTTTTTTTGGTTGTTGTTCTTCAAGATGAAGACAAACTGTTAAGTATTGTAAATTGTGAGGCTGAAATAAAAGCTCCATTCTCCTAATTTAGTGGTTAAAAAAAAAAAACAGTGAGACTTAAATATTTCTCTAAATGGTATACAGATGAAAATCTACTTTAATGTATTTCCAGGACAGTCATTTGTTCTGTTGTAGTGACATTTTCTAATGATGATCACATTTTCATTATGCAAAACTTGGGATAAATGTGCCTTTCTTTGGTCATTCGCTGCATGAAAACAATTTTTACTTCGTAGGAGATAAAGTGAAGTGTCATGCACAGACGCTTGCTTGCCTTTTTTCTGATGGAAATTGAGTGTGATGAGTGAATAGAAGTCAACTGCGGTTAGGAATTAGAGAAGGCATTCTAGAAGTGAGGAAGAATGAAGGATAGCTAAGCACAATGCTATCAAGTTGTTAAAAATTGAATTTTAAAGATTACTGAGCCAACTTACATCATTCCTCTTAGACTACAACATAAATATTACATAATTAGATACTCTTAAGGATTGCTATTTATAAAGATGGAATCTGAAAAGGCTTTTGTTGCATTTCTAAAGGGTGTATTGAAAACTTATTCCCAAATAAAAATTACTAAGGACCTTTTCCTTACACATGGAAATATTTTTTCCTACAATAGACTTTTTATGTTAAAATGATACAAAATAAACATTTTGTTTCAATGGTGATGGAAGTGACTCGGAATACCATGACTGCATACTGATAAGCCTTTTTCAGTAAACGAAGGGTAGGTAATAAGGAAGTAAGTGTATCCTTTGTATTTTGAAGGACCAGAGGGCTGAGACACCAACAAACTTATAATGAATATATTTTCTTGTCTGTTATTGTAATCTATAAATCCGAATTCACTTTTAAAACATCAATTTTCTTCCTTTCCTCATGCAGATATCATTTATATTTGTTTTTCTTTTTTGTATAACCAGAAAGGCAATGTTGATATGTATTAATTTGGATCATTTTGTTTTACGAGACAAGTGCTGACAATTTTTTAAATCAAACTAGTTACTGT